TCTTGATTCTGGTTCCTTCCCCTCATTAACCTTTCAATTTTTTGGCAAAATATTTTCTTTCTAGAATCTTTCAAAAATTGAACTGCCTCCCCGAATACGAATTTAAACATCAAGACCACAGATTTTTAAGAAAATTGTACATAAATCTGCCTTTGTGCTCTTGCAATTCTAATCTCTTCCCAGACTTTTGCTGTTTTTGTCAAGTACATCTTATTGTAAATTTTGTTTCGAGGGTTTTAAGCAATAGAATCAAGTTTCATTACTAGTATCTGTTTGAATTTCAGACATGGACAACTACTATTTCTGATATTTTAAAATAATTGTTTAGATATTTTTACACGCTGTAAAAGTACTAAGCCTTTTTAATGTCAAACGTTTCTTTAAAACAGTGTGAACTACTACCGATATGATGTCAATTAAGTTTGCAATGTGACTTAAAGTCAAGCATACATCATCAGTGATTATTTGTTGAAATTTGGCAAACAGTGCATTAGTTGTTATGATTTTTGTTAGCAAGGACGGTACCCAATTTTGATTCCTATTATATATTTTTTATCATTGAAATCCACCTGCTCATTTGTCTATAAAACAGATATTAGTTGCCATAAATTTTACATATTTCAGTGAATATTTCTTTGGGATTCTTAAGAAGTTTTACAGCAACTTTAACGAAGCGTTTTAATTTCACTCTAGTTTACTGATTCTTTACCATTCATTTATAATGCAGTGTCTCGAAAAACCCTTGTTTTCCAGCTTCTCACAATGAAATTATGTGATGAAAAGTAGTCACATAAATTGTTATAAATTCATTAAAGATTCAATAATGCGAAAAAGTCAAGCTTAATGCCATATGATATCTATATTGTATGTCAAACAATTCAGGACATTATTTATTGAACAGCCCTCGTATTACAACAAGAACAAATGGTATTTCAATGTCCATCAAACTTGTCTCCATTACTAAAATGGTCGTTTAGCGCTGCATTACTTCTATTATGATCTTTATCTGAAATGTTCACTACATTAACTGATTGTGTATCGTTTGTCTGTTCAGTTTACTGGCAATCTCTGCTTTATCAAGAGATAAATTTAAAACAGGTACTAAAAGTACCACTCGGGAAGTGGTAGTCTAGACATGAAGTAACTTCGCACGTCCAATTTAATTGCTTTACGTATATATCTCTATCTGTTTGACAAAGTAAAAAAAATAATATACATATGTCTTCATTACAATTGAAATTCATTTCAATCATATATCACTGCCAACAAACATATATTTAGGTAATTCAGATAATAGAAATGTAATACATGTAGCACTGTAAGTTAAACGCGAATTGAATTATGTGGATGGGAAAACTCTATTACCACAAAAAGGTATATCACAGAACTCCCATCTCGTGTTGGGGTCCGTGGTGTAGCACCAAGGGCCATCTGCTTCGTTAGCCCGCGGGTTCCTGCAGAAATTCTCGTGTATACTGGAGTTACCAGGCAACACGTTGGTGTAACTATGGGTCCATGGCGACTGTCGGTCCCATCTTTGACATGTCTTTCCAGAAATAGTAGTAGATTTGTTTCCTCTGTAGTCCATTCCCTCTCTTGTTTTTTTACAGTCTAGCACTTGAAATATTCATACAAAATCACTTTAAATTCAAAGTATTTAGGATTGTACACATATGACTATTAAGATTTATGAAATAAGAGAAAATTCAATTATATTTTTATAGGGTATGGAAAATAAAGAAGGCGGAGTGCAGACACTTTCCAAACTCAATAGAAGCACTTCAGAAAGCAGTTATTTTCTTCTTACTCAAACTTGCAAATGCATTATTGCAAAGAGGTTAGTATGAATTAAACAATGTCTTCATATATTTAAAAATATTGAATAAGGGTACCAGTATGCTTTACAGGAGCCATTAAGATTGCTGTAGTAATAGTTTATCAGAACAGCATTGTTCAGAAACAAAATAAAAAAAGTGCATGGGAGCTGCTTAGAACATTATAAAATCAAACTAATCATGTGAATGTTCAGTGATTCAATTTCCTTAAATCATTGTTTCTCTCTAATTTTCCCAATTATAGTATATCTGGATCCTCTGTATTACATCACAGATAACATTTGTTATTTGCAGAATATATAATATATTTATTCTCTAAGTAAAACACTTATCTCAATATCTTTCAGTATACAAATTCAACAAAAGCCATTCATTACCACAGAATGGAATTTGACAAAGCTCCCATCTTGTATCGGGGTCCAATGTATAGCACCACGGAGTAGCTTCCATCCCAGGTGTTGGGTTTCTGCAGTAATTTTCATGTTCACTGGCATTCCCCTGAAGTCGCTCAGCGTAACCATGTGAATGTGGAGTCTGGCTATCCCACCTCTGACATGATTTACCGGAAACAGTTACTGAAATATTCCCTCTGTATTCCAGACCTTCCACGGATATTTTGCAGTCCATTGCTGAAACAATATATAAATACAAACAAATAAATAATAATTGTAAATATTTTTGCAGACCTATATTTGTAGTCATATGAAGCAGAATTTGTGCAAAATGTTATGCGGGAAAAGCAGAAAACACTTGCTGTGGACTTCAACTTGACATTTGGATATATCGACGACGTATGGTAAATCAACAATGGTAATTATTTCCATTCTTATGTCGATATGATATATCTCGATGAGATTGAAATTAAAGATACCACAGAGTCTGACACATATGTGTTTCATAAATCTGGATATTTTACTTGAACAATGCGTTAATGGTAATATAACAATCAAGCTCTATGATAAATGTGATGACTATCAACTTCCCTTAATTATGCAGCAATGTGCCTACATCACCTGCATACGGAGTATATATATATCTCAGTTGATTTCATATGCAAGAACATGCTCTACGTATGAACAATTTATAAAACGAGGTAAATTATTGACAAGCAAGTTGATAATACAAGAATATTTTAGCGAACTCGTTTAAAATCATTATTTCATAAGTTCTGTGGTCAATACAATGACCTTGTCAGCAAAAACATTTTTCATTAAGTAGAATGCTTACTGACGTTTTTCATACTGATTGTTAGTCATTTGTTTCTACAGTGAATTGACGATGGATTTTTCCGTCATTTCCCGATCATGACAAGGAGAACACGGCGGGTGTGACCGGTCGACAACGGATGCTCACACATCCATGCCACCTCATCCCACCTCTGATGTTTTGCAGGTCCATGTCTGCACTGCTCCTGTTTTGTATTGTTTTATGGGTTTTTGGTCTTGAAAAGTGTTCATAATCTCGATATGTTCCAATTCAATATACAAATTCAACAAAAACCCTTTAACACTTGAGTAGTTCATTACCACACAATGGAATTTGACAAAGCTCCCATCTTGTTTTGGGGTCCAAAGTGTAGCACCAAGGAGAACCTGCGGATGACGGGTTTCTGCAGTAATTTTTATGTTCACTGGCGTTCCCCGGAAGTCGATCTGTGTAACTATGTGAATGTGGAGTCTGGCTGTCCCACCTCTGACATGATTTACCGGAAACAGTTACTGAGATGTTCCCTCTGTATTCCAGACCTTCCACGGATATTTTGCAGTCCCTTGCTGAAAATATACACAAGTACAAACAAATAAATAATTGCAAACAAAACCATACCAGCAAAGTGTTTAACAAATGCTCATATTCTTATAGAGATTTTTACTGATGTAATCTGAATTGAAATGTGCTGATTGTATCGTGGAAATGAACGTTCTTTTAAAAACTAGAAAAATGACATAGCTTTAAAATGAATTCTAATGATTTTGGAACCCAAATTTTAAAACAAAAAATGTTTTTCTGGTCTCAGTGGAAAGCTATTTAATTTTTGAGATTTGATAGAACCATAATAACTATACACGTGTCTTCACACTTACATTCTACCAAGCATGTGTATTCTATCAGGTAACATTATACCGTATACAGCAATCAAAGTGCTGAAAGTACTGATACGAGTTGATGGTTGTTCAAGCTTATAAATTGAACACTGCTTTACCGATAAGGAAATGAAATTGCCATTTAAAAATTGCAGAAATTTAGACTTCCATTTGATTTCTGATGTCAATATCATGAGATGGAGCACTGTATTATTAAATCCCATAAACAAATAATATCATGTAAAATAATAAGGAAAGCATTTCTTTTTACATTATAATTATACATTTATTGTGTATTAGTGCCCTATTTTAACAAATGAAATGAAACGCTCTTTCATACCTACAGTGTATCATGGTACAACAGTATCTGAATGTCCTTAATGTGGATACAGCAAAAGTAATATCTCGTTAAAACAAGAGGCCCATGGGCCACATCGCTCACCTGAGTAACTTGGGTGATGCAGTTCTTTACCAGATTCCCTCTCTTTCTTTACCTATGATCCCACTACCCCCTTCCCTTTTATGATTTTTAAAATTTATAATCTACACAACCCAAGGATGCTTCCACATAAGTTTCAGCTTTCCAGACTCAGTGGTTCTTGAGAAGAAGATTTTTAATTTTGTTCTATATATTTCTATGTAAAACTTGGATTCCCTATTGTGGCCCCGCCCTACCCCCGGGGGTCATGATTTTAAACAATTCAATATCTACACTACCCAAGGATGCTTCCACAAAAGTTTCAGCTTTCCTGGCCAAGTAGTTCTTCAGAAGAAGATTTTTAAAGATTTGTTCTATATATTTCTATGTAAAATTTGGATTCCCTATTGTGGCCCCGCCCTACCCCCGGGGGTCATGATTTTAACAATTTAATATCTACACTACCCAAGGATGCTTCCACATAAGTTTCAGCTTTCCTGGCCCAGTGATTCTTGAGAAGAAGATTTTTAAAGATTTGTTCTATATATTTCTATGTAAAACTTGGATTCTATATTGTGGCCCCGCCCTACCCCCGGGGGTCATGATTTTAAACAATTCAATATCTACACTACCCAAGGATGCTTCCACATAAGTTTCAGCTTTCCTGGCCCAGTGGTTCTTGAGAAGAAGATTTTAAAAGCTTTGTTCTATATATTTCTATGTAAAATTTGGATTCCCTATTGAGGCCCCGCCCTACCCCCGGGGGTCATGATTTTAACAATTTAATATCTGTACTACCCAAGGATGCTTTCACATAAGTTTCAGCTTTCCTTGCCCAGTGGTTCTTGATAAGAAGATTTTTAGTGACCCCACCCTATTTTTGTCTTTTCTTGATTATCTCCCCCTTGTAAGGGGACTTCTCATCACCCAAGGATGCTTTGTGCCAAGTTTGGTGAAAATTGGCCCATTGGTTCTTGAGAAGAAGTCGAAAATGTGAAAAGTTTACAGACGGACGGACGACGGACAAAATGTGATCAGAAAAGCTCACTTGAGCCTTCGGCTCAGGTGAGCTAAAATACTTTTCATTTTCAATTTGACAATTACTATTGTTATACTTATCATATTAGATTTTTTTAACATTGCAGTCTTCCAGTTTGAATGTGTAAAAGCACAATATACAGGAAAATACAAGAAAATAATTTTTTTTTTAGAAAGAGAAAGTCACCGTCACAATTGTGTTCATAATTTTCTCACAAGTGTAACAAGCATTAAGAATGCAAAATGTGTGTAATCTTAATATCAGAAGTTTTACACATGACCCTGATTTACAAATAAATGCTACGTAAATCAAAGTACTAACACAGTTATATTTGGGACACAGCAGAAAACTAATAATTATATTCTTGAGCATATACACTTTACAACTGTTGCAAAAACACATGGTCACGGTAAAATATTTGTTGCATATCACAATAAGCTATAAGATTTTTCTTTCATGACACACAATAGACACAAGTTGGACAACTGCATTTTTTTCCAATGTAAATTGTAGCTGAAATCGGTTTTGAAATTCACAAACATGAAATTAATATGATATAAATAAACATATGCCTCCAACATTTTCTTGAAAATAAAATTTCTGCTATCAAACTGCGGTTTAAAAATGATATTGCTTCTAATTGATGTATGGCATGTCAAACGTTGCAATATTTGATAATCTTGTGATGTATATTCAAAATCTTGTGATGTATGTTCGAAATCTTGTGATGTATATTCAAAATCTTGTGATGTATATTCAAAATCTTGTGATGTATGTTCGAAATCTTGTGATGTATATTCAAAATCTTGTGATGTATATTCAAAATCTTGTGATGTATGTTCGAAATCTTGTGATGTATATTCAAAATCTTGTGATGTATGTTCAAAATCTTGTGATGTATATTCAATATCTTGTGATGTATATTCTTAAACTTGTGATGTATATTCTATAATCTTGTGATGTATGTTCGAAATCTTGTGATGTATATTCGAAATCTTGTGATGTATGTTTGATAATCTTGTGATGTATATTCGAAATCTTGTGATGTATGTTCGATATCTTGTGATGTATATTCGAAATCTTGTGATGTATATTCTATAATCTTGTGATGTATGTTCGAAATCTTGTGATGTATATTCGAAATCTTGTGATGTATATTCTATAATCTTGTGATGTATATTCAATATCTTGTGATGTATGTTCAAAATCTTGTGATGTATATTCAATATCTTGTGATGTATATTCGAAATCTTGTGATGTAAATTCTATAATCTTGTGATGTATGTTCGAAATCTTGTGATGTATATTCGAAATCTTGTGATGTATGTTTGATAATCTTGTGATGTATATTCGAAATCTTGTGATGTATGTTCGATAATCTTGTGATGTATATTCGAAATCTTGTGATGTGTGTTCTACAATTCAGTGATGCGTGCAATAAAATTGCATGACGCAACAGAAAAGTAAGGACAATTTTCATTGGTTAGAAATAACGAAAGTAGCCGGAGCGGTCGTAATGCACACATTGACACAACTTCGCAAGCATGAAATTGACGAATTCAACCTAAAGTCAAAATTATAGGTAATAGAAAAATTGTTTTGGTATCAAGAAGCACTAAGTCAGTCATAACGTGAAAAGTGGGAATCAAGAACATTAATTTGATTTGTTTGAAGGTACATCAAAAACAATTTAGTGGCTTATTGCTGGACTAAACAGCTAAAGGATGTTTTATCCTATTTTTACGTCCTCATATTGTAGTGATGTTGATTAATCGGTATGATTTATTCTATATTGGTGCTAGTTAGAATAATCTAACTGTGTCTCGGGACAAACTCTCACCACGCAGGGTTCGAAATTGCATGGCCCATTGCAGCTGCATTGACCGTAGCCCTAGTCCAGGGACGACTTTGCAATAAATAAATAAATAACACGACAAATTTTTAGGAGAAGGGGAATGTCTGGAAAAGATTAATTGCTATGCATCATTGAATATTGTCATTCACAAATTTGTCCAATTATTTTTATAGTAAATGTATTGAGCCGGGCTCATTTACAGGATAATGAACAAGGACTGTGGTGACAGTTTAAAATCACGTTCAGACGTTTAGAGAATATGTAATACACACAAAAATATCTCAATGGCATGTATAATATTAAATAGTTTTAAAAATAAAATAAAATATAGCTAGAAATTAACAGCGAAAAATATTTATCACGTATTGTGTCGGGGTAATCCGGCTTTATATACAAACAGAAGTAAATAAACACCGATGCAGCAAGATTAAGGTCAAACGTCTCTGCACTGATGTGTCCTCAGCGGGGAGATTTGCATTAAGTCATTAATGATGTTCCCTGCATTTGTGTTAGCCTGATAGTACAACCTTTATTTATAGAATCAATCTAATTCAAATTAGATGTTAGATCCGCTTGCATACTCGCTACACTAACATCTAACAACATCCCGTTGAGGGTCACGTCAGAGGTCAAATTCTATCAATTAATCAAATCGCAGCTGGCAAAATCATCATATATTGTTGAAGCGAATAAATCTTGAGGCGTTCCGAATTTAACCTCTTACGTGACCCTCAATGGGATGACTTGTTAGATGTTAGTGTGGCGAGTATGCGAGCAGATCTAACATCTAATTTTAATTATATTGTTTATAGAATATGATGCAGACAGGGATACCTGGTGAAAACCTTTCGCACCCGTTGAATTATACTTTGTAAAATATTAGTCAAAGGAGCCAGGAAAAAATATTAAACAATTTAATATTATGATAAAAATATTCAATTTACTATTTCTTAAGGTGTTGAATGGATTTTGTTTTCTCAACAGCGGCTGGTGCACGTACCATACTTTTACTCGTAAACTCAATTTGGCGGTGAAGAAGCAGCATTTTCTGTTGCTCACCGTCGCAATAGCTGAGCATTGCTCTACGAGCAATGTGCCCGGCTAAAAATCATAATATTTGTAATGATATATCATATTCTAGACTTGACATACAATAAACAATGATAAGAATTATTGTTGCATATCTGCAGTGATTTTCTTTGATCTTTCTGTGGTGATAATTTATCCCATAATATCACATGTGTGATAATACTTTCCAAACATGTTTCAAAGTTTTTACACTCTTTATCATACAGTTTTAAAGAACAGTTTTATGAGCTCATAAGTATATTAAATGGTTAATTTATCAAAACCTGCATTTAAAAATTCAGAAGTCTTAAGTTAAACCAAATTGTCCAGGGTATTCTTAGTAAGGTATGTCAAAGGTCATGGTTAAGTGACTTTGTAAGGCTGGTATTTTTTCTTTAGTTTTATGGCAATCAGTGCACATGGTAAATAGCATAAAATTACCCTTAAAGGTCTTATGCAAGGAGATAGCTAATTAAAATGAACAAATGTAGTTCTATGTATGATGTATATAGAGACAATAATATTTCTTTTCTTTTTTCATTTTCAGGAACTTTACGTAGGTCTACAGTTTTAATTTTGGACTCATGCACTAGGAATATCATATCAGCAGAATTGTGCCACTGAATCAAAGGGAACTCTTTTTTTTTAGGTACGC